GGTAGAAGCTGCTGTTATTTATTTATTTTTTAAAATGGAGTCACATTAGTTTCTCAGGTGGATGTGTCTGGAAGTCTGATAGTGTTCCTATGCCCAAAGCAGCTCATATTGCTTGTCATGCTTTAGAGCAGTAGTTCTCAAAGTGATTCTTGAATTAGCAGCATCAGCAACAGCAGTAGTGGCAAGGGGAATCCACCCTAGATTTATATAATCAGGAACTCTGGTGGTTGGGTTATGGCCAGCAATCTGTGTTTTAACTTGCATGCTCAAGTTTGAGAACCACTGCCTTAGAGATACTTGGAGCTAATCATAGTAGTGTTGAGTTGAAACTGATGTTAAATATAAATGCTACTATTTTTAGGTCTTAAGAAGAGCTTTTGTGTCTGTGATTCTTCTCTAGGTTAGTTTAGAAACTATCTGATATAAGCCCCAAGTGCCAATCAGAAGTGCCATAATACTAGGCCTAAATGAAGCAATGAAAAAAGAATTGCTAAAGATAGTCAAAGATAATTATCAGTTTATTCTTATTATGCATGAAACACAATAAGAATGTCATTTAAAGAAGATACTAGGGCTGGGGATGTGGCTCAAGCAGTAGCGTGCTCACCTGGCATGCGCAGGGTGTTGGGTTCGATCCTCAGCACTACGTAAAAATAAAGATGTTATGTCTACCGAAAATTAAAAAAAAAATTTAAAAAAAGAAGATATTAGTATCCTTCAGAATATTGAAAGTATTTGGACTTGTGGGACGCTAGTGAAGCCAGATTTAAAGATAGGTAGTTAGTGTAGTTAGGTAAATTGGGTCTAATGTGGAGTAAAATCAAGAATGAAGGCCGTATTGAGAATATAGAGTCCAGGAAAATTCAAAGTTTTTTTTTTTTTTTTTTGGAACTGGGGGTCGACCCCAGGGCTTTGCGAATGCAAGGCAGAGGCTTTGCCACTGAGCTGCATCCCAGCCCTAAGTTCAAAGTTCTTTAAAACACAGCTCAAAGGGGTGTTAAGAGGTGAGAACAGAACAGCTATCGGTCTTTACCACAACACTCAAAAGTCCCCAAGGCTGGGAGCCCATCCCAAGGAAATGTTAATGAAGCAGCTCTCAGCAAACAAAGAGATGCTAATCCAAACGCCCTTCCTGCCCAGGTTACTACCCACCTTTTGGGCCTTCCCACTTACATTCCACCATAGCAAGATAATAGAACAAAGGACAGGAATGCAGGAAATCTGAAAGTAAACCTTAGCTATAAGAAAGGGAAGACCTCCCCCTTCCATGGATTCCACCTCTTGGGTACCCTTCTTCCTCCAGGGAGAAATCTTTTCTACTGTCCTTTAATAAAGTTTCAACTTTCCACTCTAAACTTGCCTGGGCGTGCTTCTCTGGTATTATACTTCAGCATCGGGGAAATAAGCACCGGTAAACAGCGGTAACACTAGAAGACCCTGACAGTATGAGGGGAAAGATGCTGGAAAAGAAGGCACAACTGAAAGAAGACCTGGGGGAAGTTGCATAATTGCTCTAAGTCACTTACTTGTTCTGCTCTGACACTGACCAGAGGTCCTAAAATGATTTTGCTGGAATGAATGGGAGAGTGTTTGGGACATCTATCAAATAAAACTTTGAATTAGATACACATTGAGATTTAGATTTGTGTTCATGTAACAGAAAACACAATATAATAGTGGCTTAACTAAGATAGTCACTGATTTATCATTCATATAATAGAAATCTGAAGGTTGGTAGTCCAAAGACTTGTGTGTCAGCTCCACAGTTTTCAGGAACTCTTTTTTTCAGTGCTGGGATCAAAGCCAAGGCCTCATCCATACTAAGCAAGCACTCTACCACTAAGCTATACTCCCAGCTTAAAGAACCTCGACTCTTGTCTTTTTGTTTAATGATTCTTAATTATGGCTTTTATTTTCAAGATATTACCTCATGGTAAATAAGACAGCAGCAACTCCAATCATCACAGAAGAGCAAAAGGGCAAAAAGGTACACACCCTGATTGAATAATTTCCTCTCAGATAGTCTTCCTGGAAATCAAATATAATATAATGCATTCCATTGGCCAGAATTTAGTTACATTAGCCAGTCTTAATTGTAAAGGAATCCTTAGCTGAGGCTGGCTTTGAACTTAACCATTCTCCTGCCTCAGCCTCCTGAGTCGCTAAGATTATAGGAGTGCACCATCACACTTGGATCAGAAATCTTAAAGATTAGATTGTCCCTTATATTTATTTTGAAACCCAAACAGCTTCCAATATGTGTGGTTTCAAAATGAAACAATTTTAACACCACTCTTGCTTAATCCTTATGCTAGTTACTTCAGGGAAATGGAATATCTGAATAACTTCACTTGACAGAGGATAATGTTACCAGAAATCTGGCAGGGGAAATTCTGTTTTAAAAACAAATCCATGGCCAGGCATGGTGGCTCTGGCCTGGAATCCCAGAGGCTGGGGAGGCGGAGGCAGGAGGATCTCCAATTCAAAGCCATCCTCAGCAATTTAGCGAGTTGAGTTGCTAAGCAACTCAGTGAGACCCTGTCTCTAGTAAAATACAAAATAGAGCTAGGGATGTGGTTCAGTGGTTGAGTGCCCCTGAGTTCAATCCCTGGTACCCCCAAACAAAAATTAAAACAAAACAAAAAAAGCCCCAAATCCATTCTGATTGTTTTTGAAAAAAAATTTTTTGAATTTGTGATCCATGATCTTATACAATTACACACGTACAGGAAAAGAAAGATGACATCAAGGCAAGCTTGACTAGTTGTTCTAGTCGCTAGAAGACATTTATTCATTCAGTGTTTATAATTAAAATGAGTGTTGCTCATATAGTGACCTGATTTTACAACATATAGTGCTTCAGATTTGATCCCTGATATAAAAAGAAACAACAAAACCCCCACCAAACTCAAGCTATAAGTATAGATTTTTGAAAAATTAAACTTGATTGTCATCATAACAGAGCCATGTCACTAATTAAAGCCAAATTTTTACATCGCTTGAAAACATGGAATTGAAATTCATAACAGAATAACAAAGCATATGGGAAAGAAGAAGTCACCAGTGAGATAATTTCACATAAACAATATGTGATATTAATTTAAGAACCAATGTACTTTAAGTAATGGCATCAGACATGACTAATAGAGTAGAATCCGGAAATTCAGACAGGAAATCTAGCTTTGGAAAGTGAGGCATAAACAGGAATGGGGATAGGGTAGTAACAGAAACTTTCACGGGTCTTAGAATTAAGGGATCTCTAGTTGCTTTAGCACCCAAAGGATGTGTTAACTCATTTTAAAAACAGCTTTATTGGGCTGGGGTTGTAGCTCAGTGGTAGATTGCTTGCGATGCATGTGTGAGGTACTAGGTTGAATCCTCAGCACCACATAAAAGTAAATAAAGAAATTGTGTCCAATACAACTAAAATACTTTAAAAAAACTGCTTTATTGAGATACTTTATATAATCACAAATGTCACCCATAGGAAATATACAGTGATTTTTAGTAAATTCAGTGCTGTGCAATTGTCAACCTCAACTAACATAGTTTTTCAAGTTTTTTTCTGGGGTACAAACCATTTTTATCTTTCTTGTATAAAGGTACATGGTGACTCAATAAAATCACAGAGCAAGTATCAAGAATTCAAAGATGACTCACTGAAATTGTGTGTAATAGACATGTGCAGGCAGCTGCTGTGCTGAAACCAACAGGGATAAAGAGAGGAAGGGTGGTTGGAGGTAGCACTGAGCAATGGTTACCAGCCAGCCTTAGTGTCAGACTGCTGGAGATCTGCTTCTGTCATCCTCACTTAATCAAGGAATTACTTAACTCTCTGAGCTTCCTTTTACTTATCTGTTGTAAAATAATAGCACCCTATTTCATGAGATTATGAAGACTAGATGAAATAATATATGCAATGGGCTTCATATAGTCTCTCATATAGTAAGTATTCAATTAAATTAAGTATTTTTATAATTTTTACTGGATGACTATTAAATAACATTTCATAAACTAGACACAAAGGATCACATACGGTGCCAGAAGAATGATCAATTGCCAAAGGCTAGGGAGGAAGGGTAGGAAATTGACTGCAAAGCATCACCAAGAACTTTTTGGAATGTTCTACCTTGTGATTGGAGTGGTATTTTGTGAACATTTGTCATGGAATTACACCCTTTAACTTAGTGAACTTTGTTGTATGTCAATTAAAACCGATCCCCCTAACCCTATAAATATAGCTTTTAATTTTCCAATTGAATAGTTCAGATGTTTTATAGATCAGAAGCAGGAATCAATTCTAAATACAGCCAACTATGTGCAAGGCATGGTTCTAAGTCTGAGGAACGGTCTTATAGAAGACAGTATCTCTACCTCCATGGAGCTTTTTCAAGCACGAATTATACACATAGATTTGAAATTTAAAAAGGAATCATTGAGGATACTGGTAGAATAATCTGGGGGTGCGGGGAGACAAGAGTAGCTGTAAGTTATTTAAATCTCTATCCCCCGTTTTTTTTTTAAAATTTCAAACATGCACAGAAGGAAACAGAGTTTCTCCATTAAAAGAGAATGCACTGGACATAGTATCTGGGCAGGTGTGTGTCAGAGGCCTCTCAGTATACAGTGACCCAAGGTTGTCCCCTGCGGACACCATCGGAGAGACGCAGTGCCCACAGAGCGAGGGAAACACACTGGCACCAGACCAAGGTCCAAGAGGAACTCTTCCACGGGCCCCAGGGGCCCCATGACCTTGGCAGTGTGAGCTCCGCACTCTCCAGGCTCCCGGCGTGTGCCAGCCCTCCGCAGGGGAAAAGCTGCCGGTATCCTTGGGATACTTTCCCAGAGGCCGGGTCAGTTTCGCCGCCCTCTCCGCAGGGTGAGCCCGCCCACTAGAGTGACTGGCTGGGGAACCGAGGCGAGTTGCTGGAACCGTATTGGCTGCTCCGCCTGCGGAGGGCGGGGAAATGCATGTGAGGGGCGGAGCTAGTGGAGGGCTGGCGGCCGCCGGGCGTTCGCTCGGGAAATGGATGCTCCGCTGGTCCGCCAGCGCCGGGGGCGGGGAAAGCACGCGCTCCGGTGTGCGCGCCCCGCCCAGGAGTCGGCGGGAGCGCCCTCCCTCTCCTTCCTCTCTCACCAGCCCTTGGTTGAGCACCCAGCGAAGAAATAGAGTACCTTATAAGTTTCTTGATTGGTATTTGGGCGGCCACAGCCGAAAAAGGAACATGGCGCTTGTAGGCAGCCGAGTGGAGCTGGAAGCTGATGAGGTACTAGCGGTGGGCAACGCGGGCGCTACCCCTGGAGCCCGCACCCGGGCGCGGGAGGGATGGGCGAGCCCCGCTAGGGGTGGCTGAGGTCCCGCCCCCTGGGTCCGGGTCGGGGACCTGCCGGCTCCGGCTCTGGCTCTGAGGTAGGGGAAGGGGAGGGGGCTGGGTGCGGGCATCTGGCCTTGGCAGTCTCTTCCTTTCGGGACAGGAGGGACCTTGCGGTGTGCCGGCAAGGGGATGTTGTACCCCGAGTTTGGCCCCGGGACGTGTGGGTGCGAATGAGCGGGAGCGTAGGACCTGGAGCTCGGAGCTGTTCAGAGCCTTCCCATGGACTCCCGGGCTTTCCAAAGTAGGACCCCGAAGTCCTGACACTAGCCCTCTGGGGTTCTGGACCTGGGAATCTCGCCTTCTATGGAAGTTTCCTGGTGGCAGAACTGAAGGGCTTACGTTCGATGAAAAGAGAGGGCAGCCAGAGGAAAAAGGAGCCGAGGGACATCTGCCAGAACGGCCAGGGCTGCCGGAGGAGCTACCCCCCTCCCCCAGGCAGTGATGCTTCTTGCTTTTGCTACGGTGCCGGGACACTTCCTTAAGTGAAGGACCTTTGAGAACTGTCGGTGGCCTTCGGTGGTCTCAACTATTTAATTAGCCACTTCTTCTTGTCACTGCGCACCTGGGGCTGAGCACTCTGCGGCCCTGCGGCAGGCGCGCAGGACCTGTTGATTTACTGACAGTTCCTTTCAGCGCTTGCCAGCTCCAGAGAAAGCGCTGTCTTGCTCTTGAAGTTGAAGTTGAGGCTCCTGCGGCAGCCGCAGGAACTGCAAAGTCCCTCAGCCGCGGCTTCTGCCATTTTACCTGACTTGAATTTTACAAGTCGCTGCCTAAGAAGGCTTCAGTTTCAAATGATGCAATAGTGGATGACCTGGAGGAGGCGGGATAAAATTTCTGTTCATCTCTTTAATGCTTGGAAACTCCTGAAAACTAACTGATACTATGCTTTAAATGTGGGCCTAACAACAAAAACAGAACTACAGTACCTTTGCATAACTGGTAGAGAAGAGGGCCAGCACGATGTCCAGAACTTTGCTTACATTTTCACAGTTCTTTGATCATCATTCATTTCTTCCTCAGTGTTTTTTGGTTCCTGATTGTGTATTACATTAAATATCCATGTTCCTGGCATGCAAATCTCTCCACAGTATGATCTCAATTGTTTATCTCAGGTTCGTCCTCAGCTGTCTCCCTGTATATAATCATTTAGTTCAATCATATTTTAAACAAGGAAGAAAGATTGGGAGTAGTTAGTAAATGTGAAGTGAAATTTCTGAATCCTGGGCTGCTTGTCCAAAAGATTTGCTATGTTTAGGGCGGGACTATGGCGCTATAGACAGGACCCTGTTAATAATTAGATTGGAATAATAGATGTAAACTGGGACTGTTCTAGCATAGTGAGGCATGTGGTAACTCAAGCTGTACTCATTACCTACAAGATGAACCAAAGTGTTGAAATGTGTGAACTGGTGGGGAGTGCTCTGTTGGGGGAAATAGGTTTCAGAGTCGTAGAGAGTCTGGCACAAAGACAGTTGGTATATGTTTGTTGAATGAATGAATGAATGTAGAAAAGATGTTGCTTGGTAATGTCTCAGTTTTTATTAAACAATTTGTTCATTAACTGTTAGATTCCTATTTATTACATGCCAGGTATTCTGCTAGTCCTAGGAGATAGCAAGTACAAACAGAACTCATTGTTAATGCCAAATCCACTTTTGCCCCTCATATTGTATTTTATCTGTTAGTATAAATTTACCAAGCATTTATTGATCATTTGCTCTGTGCTCAAACTTGGTAGGTGCCTTAGAAAAATAAGACGCAGTTTTGGCTCTTTAGGATTCTCAGTCAGGGTAGAAAGATATGACCTATGTAAAAAAACTTCAGAAAATAGCTCAAGGCAGGGTGAGCAAGTAAGAAGTAGGGTGCTGTAGAATGAGTATTCTTGACTTTTTTGGTAAAAGATTTCTAATCGTAAATGGACTGAAGAACTCATCATACTTATGAGTAAAACCCTGTTCTTCAATTTTCAGGGTGTATAAAATGAAAATAGCTATTTTATTTATAAGCTGCCTTGCTTATATCTGGCTCTTGGTTTTTGTGTGTGACTTAATATTTGAGGGTTAGATAAAAGTTTACATGTTACTATTTAATTCTGTTAAAGTAGTCAGCATTTTCTCTTCATCATTTGATAATAATTTTTTTTTAGATGTTGATGGACCTTTATTTTATTCAATTATTTATATGTGGTGCTGAGAATCGAACCCAGGGCCTCACACATGCTAGGCAAGTGCTCTACCACCAAGCCACAACTCCAGCCCCATTTGATAATAATTAAATGCATAAAAAAGAAATTCATTCTCTTAAGAAGAATGCTGTTTTTATCACCATTATATGATATTCTTGAGAAGTAAAAAGGGACAAAGTCGAAAGTTGGAAAAGTATTATGTTTAGAATTAGGTAAACTGGGCTCTCAGCTCTGTTTACCCCATAGTTGTTCACTATTATTATATGTACATTTATGGAGACTAATTTGCTCCATAGTCATTGAGTCATTTATATGTGGAGACATCTGATTATCCTAGGTGCCAAGCCCTGTTCTAGCCTGGAGATATAACAATGAACAAGACAGACAGACCCTGCCAAGACTAGTGATTTTTTTTTTTAAATATTTATTTAGTTGTAGATGAACACATCTACAACTATTTATTTTTTATGTGGTGCTGAGGAGTGAACCCAGTGCCTCTCATTCGAGGCAAGCACTTTACCACTGAGCTACAGCCTCAGCCCTGTGACTAGTGATCTTGATTGAGCAAGTCTGTCAACCTCTAAGGATTCTTTCAGTTTCCTCAACTGAAAATAGTTGGGTTAGAGAACTCTAAGTTTCTCTCAGCTCCAAAAATCTATGCTTTTGTATGTGTGTGTGCGCGTATGTGTTTTGAAGGGGATGGAGAAGGGGGTTTTATGTTTTGGAAGAAAGGCTAATAATATGGAAGTCAATGGGAGCACTGAGGTTAGGATTTGTATCCTCAATGGGAGCAAAAATTTGATTCTTGAAGGGGACAAAATATCTTAGATATTATAATGTTTTGTGGTTCTTCAAAGCTCAATCAACAAAATCTTTTTAACATTTTCACTTTTCTCACCTGTTTTTCCTTAGTATTACATGAGCAACATTGACATCAAGTTCATGGAAAATATACAGATGTGTGCAGGGTCAATACAACAAATTCCTGGCAAATTATCAGATGGCTATCATTAGAGGACCAATTGAGGACATTCTATCAGTTGCTTGATCATATCTTAATTGGTGACTTTAGTTGGCTGCCATCAGTTGCATTGTGGATGTGGCTTACATTTGGCCCTCAGTTTCTTTCTTTTTTTTTTTTTGTTTAAAATAATTTTTACTTTAATTTTTAATTTGCATGACATGAATTCCTAATTTACAAAATAAAAGAGAAGTAAGAAATTATTTATTTACTTGGAGAAAGAAAACTTTTCTTTTTTAAAGAAATTTTTTATTCTAATTTGTTTTATATGACAGCAGAATGCATTACAATTTATATTACATATATAGAGCACAATTTTTCATCTCTCTTCTTGTATAGAAAGTATATTCACGCCATTTGTGTCTTCTTCATACATGTATTTAGGGTAGTGATGTTCATCTCATTACACTATCTTTTTTTACCCCTCTGCCCTATCTACAGTTTGTCTAATCTTCCCATGCTCCCCCTCCCAACCTCACTGTGAATCACCCTCCTTATATCAGAGAAAACATTTGGCATTTGTTTTTTTGGGGATTGGCTTACTTCACTTAGCAATTTAGCATTATATTCTCCTGGCTCTCAGTTTTTTTTTTTTTTTTGGTGTATATGTGTGACTTGAGATTTGAGGGTTAAATGAAAATAGTTTATATTTTATTTAATTCTATAAAATATTCAACATTTTCTCTTTTCAGTATTGACAATAATTATATGAAGTGCTGAAACAGATAATATTGACCATACTTGAATGAATAACTAGTAGCTAAATTTAATATTATTTTATCATGTAAACCAAAAGATCACCAAAATAACTTATTCTTTATTCTTTATTTATGTATGTATTTTGTGATATTGGGGATTGGATCCAGGGCCTTATGTGTGCTAGGTAAAGGCTCTACCACTGTGCTACATTCCTAGTCCCTAAAATAGGTTTTGAATTTTATTTTTTTAATTGGTATTGGGAATTGAACCTGAAGTTCTTTACTACTGAGCCACATCTGTAGTTCCTTTTATTTTGTATTTTGAGACAGGGCCTAACTAAGTTCTTGAAGCTGGCCTTGAACTTGAAGTTTCCTGCCTCAGCCTTCCAAGTTGCTGGGATTACTGGTATGGGCCATGGTCCAGTTAGGTTTTGATTGTTGTTAAAAAAAAAAAAATGGGGCTGGGGATGTGGCTCAAGCGGTAGCCCGTTCGGCTAGCATGCGTCCGGCCCGGGTTCGATCCTCAGCACCACATACAAACAAATATGTTGTGTCTGCTGAGAACTAAGAAAAAATAAATAAATGTTAAAATTCTCTCTCTCTCTCTGTCCCCCCCTTTCTCACTCTCTCTTTAAAAAAAAAATGGTTGTGTTATTATATAGTTACATGAATTAGCAAATTGCATATATGATTTGATACATTTAAATTGTTAGTAAATTCTTGAAAGGTTAAATGTTAATATCTTTAAAGTTTTGAATTTGACATTTACAATTTTTATTTAGCTATTCTGAATATATTCTGAATAAAAGCTCTACTTTTTAATTTTATGTTTAAAATATGTAATTAAAATTTCATGGCGAGGGGCAATTAGGAAAATAAATATCTAAACACTCCTTAGGGAAGTGATGATGAAGAAAGGTTGAGAAACACTGAGGGAAAGAAATTGCTTATGTGACAGATGCTTTCATGGTCTGCTTTACTTTTTAAT